CTAGGCCAAGACGCCTGCTGTGAAATCGAAAAGAGAAAATATTTATATCACTCTAATTAAAGTAATCAACATTCCCAATTATGATTTTTCATTTTAATCATTATCATCAGGAATTATAATTGCAGAATAAAAACCAACATGAATTATCTATTCGAGATTTTATGATATTTATTTTTAAAGATGATAAAGAATATTGAGATGAATTGTGTAATTGATAGTAGCAAGTTATTGTGATATATTTTTAATACATGATTTACAAAACCCCTCGATGCATAATACTGTGATTCCGTTTTATAAGTCCAATCGACAGAAGTCCCTTGCATCAGTGGTGCAGCTAATGGTATATTTGAGAGCCAATTGAAGTACCCTCCAGCTTCAATTAAAAGTACACTTTTGTTTGGCAATTCTGACAGTCGTGAGGCCATCACACATCCTGCGGTACCTGCACCAACTGCATTGTCATACCACCAAAACCGAAAACAATATAATAAACAAATCAGTAATCAAAGGTGTTAATTAAACGTTCTTCCTAGCACTTCATCATTTCTCAATTTTTTTCCGATTCGTTTGAATTTCTTGGAGATTTTATGATTATTTAATTAAATAAATAATCCATTAAACAATTTAAATTCACAGAAATCCCGAATCCGATTTCATAAATTGGTGAAGGGAGAGCATTCGATCACTTTTTAACAAAAATGATTGTGAGAATCTCTGTAATCAATTTATTATTGTTCTTTTCGAATTTATTTGAAAGAACACGTCGAATTAATTTCTGCGTAAACCTCAACTAAACCCTGACTAACTCCCCATAACTAAAAATCCGGATTCCCTGATTAAAAAACATGTCTCGAAGTGTCAGAAATCGGTAGAAAAAATTCCCCTGAATTTTTCCGATGGACTGATCTCTGAATTATTTATTAAATAATGAGTTTAAATACTCGAATGCTCAAATCGAAGACTGAATTTCGATTCATCTTATCTCACCCACAATATAGTCGTAACGATCTTCTGGATATTGAATAATACTCAGTGGTTTCGAGACATTATAATGATACAATAACGACACCAATAAAATAATTCCGGAAATGAAAATGTAATTCCACATGATAACGGAAATAAATTGAAGACAAATCTTGATGTAACGAAAACAATCGTTTGAATTCTGTGAGTATTACTCACAAGCTGAGACATCAGTCCCCACTCGTTGTTGCAATATTAAATTAGTATCGACGAGGTAAATCAATACTACATCCTTCACCGGTGATGTATGGAGATTAATTGGCTCTTCTGAAGCCCAATAAAAATTATTCTGTGAATGGATTTGTACAGGGAATTGTCATAATATTTAAATCGCCCATCTCATAATAATTTAATGGGCCCCTTCTATCGATACATATCGATAATTTAATTAATTGAAAAAAAAA